ACCAGCCGCGCAATGCGGCCAGTCTCTCGCTCCTCTTGCGTCTGCACGGCCTGGCCAGGCCGTCGGGCGGCCGTGGCCGTTGCCGTGGCCGCGGTTGCGGCCGGCCCGGCCCGGCCGAGGCCGAGGCCGTCGAGGCGGTGGGTGGCAGCGAGCGCCGGTCGCGACGCGACTGTCGGCCGGCCGGGCTGCGCTCGGCCAACAACTTGTCGATCAGTTCGGAGGCGCTGCATCTGCTCGCCGGACGCGGACGTCTCAGTCCGAGGCAGAGCCACCGAGCGCCGCTGTACCACAACTTCCCGCCGTTGGCGGACCGAGTGCAAAAGTGGGAGGAATGGCTGGAAGTGCATCGTCCGGCCGGCGTCGGCGATCTGCTCCTGCTGGCCCGGACGCGAAGTCGCAGCGAAGGCGGCTCGCCCTCCACCGGCAGCCCATCGCATCGGCCGGCCGGCCAACTGGTACCGGCCGCTGGCGTCACGCACATCCGCTGTTCGCCTCGGCCCGACGAAGCGACGTTGCTTACGTCGCAGCCGCGGCCGCGGCCGCCGCCGCTGCGTCCCAGCGGCGCCTACTGCGAGACGGCCGCTTCGATGCGCCAGCGGCGCGCCGACCTCCTCCGGCCCAGCCCCAGCCCCAGCCACAGCCCCAGCCCCAGCCCCAACCACAGCCCCAACCTCAGCCCCAGCCCGAGCCGTAGCGCCAGCGCCTGCGGGTCGGACGAGGCGTCGGCCGGTCTGGCGCACCTCTTCGACGGACTAGCTAGTCTGTGCCGACCGCCCTTCGGCCCGGCCCCCTCGGCCGGGCAGTCGGGCGACGTAAACCGGTTCTATCGCCCGTTCGGACGGGTCGACGCCGAACCGCGGCTCGAGTCGCAGACGCCGATCGTCGGCCAGGCCGAGCCGGTGTGCCGCAACTGCGGACGACCCCATCCGGCCAACTTCTGCAATCAGCCGACCATCGGCTTCGGCCACGGCGGCCACGGCGGCGGTGGTGGTGGTGGTGGTGGTGTTGGTGTTGGGGCTGGCGACGGTATGATGATGTACCGTCTTCAACAGACGAGTCCGTTTCAGTCGGTCGGCCCCGGCCGTCCGGTGCCGCATGTCTGGCCGACCAACGGCCATTTCAAGCCGCCTCCGATGCTGGAGACGATGTACTGCCTGAATGCTCCTTTCACGCCGAGTCTACAGCCGCCGCAGCTGGTGCCGGGCGCCAACGACGCCTTTCCAATGCTCTTCCCCTCCGGCCTGCCGTTCCATCAACACCCACGAAACCCGGTTGCTGTTGGCGTCGGCGTCGGCGTCG